AAGAGGCTGTGCCTCGTCCACACTCTGCTGTCCACGTTAACAGCCTTCTGTCCCCGGCGTCCACGCAAACGTTGCCAAGACAGTGACCTTTGATTGCTTTGGACAAACTGTGGGCTTTTTCCCCTCTCTCTGCAGAGAGAGCCGCTGCATCTCGTGCCCGCAGCAGGCTGAGCTGCCATGCAGCGCTTGCACCAGGGAAGTCTGGCATCCCCCCGGTGCCTGTCCGTGGCAGAAGCGCTGGCTGAGCAGAGCGGTGCCTGTGCAGGTGACTTCTGAGCAAACACCTCCTCCCGTATACCTGCCACAGGCTATGACTTAGCTGTGCTCTGTTTGCTTTTACCTTTGTGCCACATCCACAGGCTGAAACGACTGGTCAGCCCAGGCTGGTTTCTGCCGGGAGACAGAAGGGAGGTTGCTCGGGGGCAATGTGCCATTCAAGTGCAGGTTTACTCTGCCCCGAGCAAAGCCCCTCTTTGTGCCTCCACGGCCAAGATGCACTTCAGTGTGGGCTGACAAGGAATTGTGGTGCGACACTCCCTGCCCCACAGCCCCACTCATGCTGAGCGAGACCTCCCTGGGGTGGGATGACCCCGGAGAGGGGCCATGCAGAAGGGCCACGGGCTGCCCTTTGCTCCACACCATGGCAGGGCAGGGCTGCAGGCGAAACCTTGCTGAGGGCGTGCAGGTGCTGCAGCATCAGGGAGCGTCTCTGGCTCATTTTGCCTTCACACCACACATGTGCTGGTCAGACTTGAGCATTTACTATTGCCCTGACCGAGCTGCGTAGCTCATCGCTTATGTCAGAATTTGTGCAAAGCTGTAAGACCTTTAAAGTCTGTGTGATAAGGTATGCTGGAGGCTGAATTTTGTCCCATTGCTCATTAGAAGGAAAGTTTAAGCATCCACGCAGTCTGTCGAAGAGCCGCAGAATCCTCACCCTGAAGGCAAGCAGCAGGAGCTCGTCTTCGCCCAGCCGGGCAGGGGGAGGCAGCCGGCCGACGTCACTGACCTGCGGAGCGGAGGCGAATGGCGTCAGCAGAGTCACAGCAGTGTGTGATGGGCCTTTGGGGCTTTGGTCTCTCCCCAGCAGACAAACCTGCCCCTGCGGTAGCAGCCCATGGAGGAATGGAGCTGCCACACACACTGCCCACGCAGATCACGGCTCTCCTTCCTGCGGCAGAGCCAGGGTGACCCTTGGGGATGCAGCCAGGGACACCAGGGACCTGCCTGGGAGTGCTTCCCGCACTCTGCAGCCCCTTGCAGAGAGCCAGAGCTGCCAGGGCTGGTGAGCCCCCTGTCTGCATGGACTGAGCACGGGTACACCTCCACTGTTTGCTGTTTTGGGGTCCAGACCATGGGGCAACAGGGAAGCGCTCACCATGGGATGAGCGTGCTTCCCCACAGATGGGAGCTTCCCTGGCCACCCCGCCCCCGCCGTGGGAGCACCTGTGCGTGGAGTTGCCCGTGTGCTTGAGAAATACCTGCACTTTGGTTCCCACGTTGAATTTTGCTTGTTGCCCCATGGCGAGGAAGGAAACGGTCATCTTGTCCTGGCCCAGGATCCTCACCCCCACGTGCTGGTTCAGGGAGATGAAGATGGGGCTCAGTGGGACGTGGGGTCCTGATGACATGACGCTGTTCAGCCACGTCCACCTTCTCACCCTGTTGCCCGCTTGGTCCAAATACTGCCCTCCCTGAATATTCATATTTATCCTAAAAGAGAGGAAAATCAAAGCTCTGAGCCCTGCAGCTCCCACGGCCTATGTCCCTCGTTCCCCAGAGGGACGGCACTGAGGCACAGCTAGTTTGGGGTCTGACCCGCGCCTCTCAAGGCTCAGCTGGGGTAGCCTCACTCCTCTGAGAGCCACCCGAAGCAGAGCACATGACCTGCTAGATTTGTCTTTTAATTTTTGAATGCTATTAAAAATACCCTTTATGACCTTTGAAATTTAAAATGCACAGTGGAGAGCAAAACTGCTCTGACCAACTTGAACATACCACACAGCTCCGTTCGGATAATAGCAGGTATTTCTGCCATTGGACGTAAATACTGCTTGTATTTCGGCGTTATTCGGCTTGTCTTCCTGTACTATGCAAAGAAGCCTTTTTTTCTCTCGTACAACAATGATTGCCAGATTTCCAGATGGATAGCTGTCATCAGATAGATAAGGTGCTCATAACCCCTTTGTTTGTCTGGTTGGTCTATTATTGCATACTACTTATTTCAGAGCACTACTTCGGAGTATAAAAACTGACATATTACCCAGATCACTGTGGTAAAGGTGGAATGGTGGTGAGCTGCCAGTGTTACCTGGGACGCTGCCAGTGCTCGTCTCCTACATTGAAGTATTCTGTATACACTGCCAAAAGAGCAGATAGATACAGAATACATTTCTCATGTTTTCTAACCAATAACCCAGGCAGAACCACTTAGCAAGTTTATTTTAAAGACACGTTCTTGGACAACGCTCACAATTGAAAGTACAAGCCTAGCAAAGTGAAGTGATCTAAGTATGCAGCTTGGATGACAGCAGAGAAAACAGGGGCAGGTATTATTCTCCCAGATAAAAGAAGCAAACAACCAGCGGGAAAAAAGGCCCTTGCCCCAGAAACCTGACTCGAATGTAACCAAACAGACATTTTGTGTCTCACTGGGGTTTCCCTCCAGCAAGATTTGCTGCTGTGAGCACATGCGTTTATGGCACTGTGTCATTTCCCGCTGCCGCAACCAGCAGCATCCCTGGGACAAAGTCAGCCTGGAGGGCAGAGCAGAGAGATAGTCTCAAGCCCGTTTACTTCGGTGGCAGAGCTCAGGTACACTTGCATACACCCCAGGGTGAGAAAGAAGTCAGCCACAGTAAGGAAAAATAACGTGGGTGACTTAAAATGTTATGGCTTAAATAATGGCAAAGGCAGCCTGAAAGCTATGGGGTCTTTTGGTGAAACTGCCCCATTTCTATTTCTTCAAACAGGACTCTTAGTTACACTGGTAATTTCAGTTTGTCTTTGCACCTCTTCTGCCACCTCTTCTGCCACCACCTTCTACTGCTGCCCACAGGACAGCAACATCAGCCCTGTGCCGGTGCAAAACACGGTGCTGTTTGTCCCCGGGGAGGGACGGGGCTGAGCGCTTTCAGAGCCTGCTTGGCCAGCGGTGCCCTTCCACGGGTGGCCAGAGCTCGGCAGTGGGTCTGAACACTGGGCTAGCGCATTTCTTAGACTAGGTATTGAAGACACAAGTGCCCGTCCTTCATCAGAGCTACTGGCTGGTCTGAAAAACTTCAGACCAAGAGCTATGTAAGTGATTTCACTACTGCTTTTTTTTTTTTTCAGACTGTGAAAGTGAGCGTGAGTGGTGGACCAGGTTATTCGGTGATAAAGCAGACTAGGACACACTCAAAATTAGTTACAACCCTGGACTAACACAGGGAAATGAACCCTGTAAAGGATACAATAACTGCGCTGCTCCATCTGGAAGCATGGTAAGGAACTTCCCTCCATGTTTGTAGTATTTTTCCAATAATTCATTCTTCACTACCTAAGATTGGAAAAGAAATGATAAAATGGATGAGAGCCGTCCCGCACCAACTGCCCTGTAAAGGCAGGCAGGTGCCAGGCTCCAGCTGCTCTGGAGTGTGGACACGTCCGAGGCGCAGCCCATCGCCGTCGGGCAGCAGCTACTTGCCTTTCCACCCACAAGGGTAAAATCGCAGCAGGTGATGCTGCAGGAGACGGGCTCCTCCTCGGGCTCTGCTGCTCTCTCACCGGGTACCAGCGTCCGGCCCTTTGGCGATGGAGGCTCCCGAGAAAGCAGGTAGGAAATCGTGCCAGCTTGATTTGAAGCTAGAGAACAAAGGGAAGGTTTGCGTGCACCAGGAGGGCGGGCAGCGCTGACGCCGGCTGCCTGGCACATCTGCAGGGGGGCTGTAACCTGGGGAAGTGGGAATTTCTGGCTGAAATGCTCCATCCTGGGAGTCTGTCTCGGGGTATTTCCTGTCTAACAAGGACAGTCCAAAATGTTCAGCTATTTCAGAGATCAGGATTATGAAAAAAGATGTAGTTTTTTTCAATTATGTATATATACACATCTGTGTGAGTGAAGAATGACTCTTTTTGGCTATCGTTCGTGGCTCCGCACTGTGGAGGACTGACAATCTGAAATCCTTGGTGCCGCAAGAGCCTCAGTGCTTGCCGTCCTCCATGAAAATATGCCCAGATTGTAAATCTAGCTCATCTGTTCTTAGTCAGAAAGCCTTTGATCCAAAGGGCTGCTCAGTCATCCACAGCCTGGGATAGGAATTAGTGGAGTATTCACCTGATTAGGCAAAACATTGCTCACCCTAATTCTGGCAGTCCCCACCTTCCAAGGCCTTGGCTTTGCCAACTTCTTATGCTCCAAGATCAATTTCTGTGCATCTCAGCTGAAACGTTCAGATATAAATAGGAGATCCTCTCTGTGCAATGGGAGTGTAACTGCTTTTTTTTTTCTCATGTGAGGGATTATTTAATATGGCGCTATCTAATTTAATGGGATTGCACACTTGACAATGAACTAACATGTTGCTGTATATATCCTCCTGTTCAATTAGAGAGCATTAGAGACATGCGATTCCACTGAATTCATTGTTGTAATAAATAGGCAAATACATGCATAAGGAAATGCAAACTCACATTCAGATACACTCGTTCGCTCCGCTGCCAGGAAAGCTAACTGTCTGGCCATTTGTCTCTCCTGCTGCCTGGAAAATGAAAGTATTCCTGATAAACATTTCATATATCCTGTTTTGAAAGCTAGAAGTACTGGATATCCATGCTGTAGGAGCACGAGTTTCTGAACCTGTTTTTCTCTCCACTTGCATAATTGCAAATAACCGAGGCAATGGACTATCACCAAAATAATACCATCTCAGCCAACAGAGATTTCAGTGAACAGACTCTGTGATTGCAATGGCATCAGCTCTACTGACAGCAGAACTAAACATTGTAATGGATTTTGTATCAAGATTTTATGTAAAAGAGGAGAGCTGCCCATAAGATCAAGAAAATAGCTAATCTCCAAGAATGTTTTCACTATTCTTCTTATCTAGCTTGCTATAAATTTGTCATAGTCTGACAACGGCTTTGGTTTATGCTCTGTACATAACGTCAGGTACTCGCACCATCAGACTGCA